CCCGTGTGCACTCGCTTCCCCCCCCCGCCAAACACTTTTTTCCTGCAGATCCTCTTTTACTTTTGATAGAAATGTACTTTAGAACCAGCTTCGGCTCTGCAAAGTGTTCATACAATTAAAGGCAAACAAGTCATGCTTTCTGATCTCTCTTGGGAAAAGGAGAGCCTGTGTGTGTCCCAGACAGTTTAATATCGATCCCCCTAGCCAACAAGCTACTGGCTACGTGATCTACATTATATTTCCCATCTAGGTATAAATTATGGACTTCTGTAACATAGCATCCTAAATATTGCAAAAGTTTGCGTCCGTTAATTTTCCTTCTTCTTCTTCTTCTTCATGACAGCCTTCTAAGGTCATCTCTCCATGGCAGAGTGGGCCCTGCTGTCCCCACGTTGCAGGTGCCCACTATGGGACAGAGATACCTGGGGTTCTTTAATGACCTGCAGACCGAAGAGTTTTCTGAGTAAAGCCAAAGTTAACCCAAATCACAGCCTTCTGCTGAGTTGAAGAGCGAGCTCAGTTTCGCCAGCTCTGGCTGGCAGTGAGGACTCTGGAGGACATCCGGCTGCATTCCTTGCTCAATCCATTGGGAGAAGATCTGGAAAATCCCAATAGAAATGGATGGTTTCAGACCAATTTGTGTGAGGTTTTGGGCTGACATGGAATGGCCACATTTGGTTCTGGAGCAGAGCGAAGTGAATTTACCAGCCAATTTATATCCAGATCCCAAATCAAAATAGATAAGACAGATCTTGCTTCAGCCTTTTTTTTAAAAGGCCCTTTTAGTACACAAACCTCTGACAATGACTGGCTGAAATTTGACAGGTATGTCCATTCCACATCCATGTACGACCTCTTCTAGCTTTCCAGTGTACCTCAGTGGGAAGCTCATAAACCAAAGGAGATCCAGGGCATGAGCTTAAACCTAATCCTGAACCCTGAACCCTGAACTGGTTTCCAACTCTTAGTTCAGGGTCCCCACACACAGCCCTTGTGTTTGTCTTCCTGGATGGATGAATCATACTTGCTACCTGGAGGATAGTCAGTATTCAAATGGCATAAAAAAGAATTGTGTATAATATGGTAAGCAAATGCGATTTCCACCTCCTTAGGTAGCTCAAAAAGTTTAATAAGTATCTGCATTGAAACCATGTCGCTGTGTACTTCTGTTGAATTTCAATGGCTTCAGAGGTGGACCAGCCACCAATTAAAAAAATCACCTTCTTTCTCCAGGGAAGAAGCCACCCATGTGAAGCATTTTTCTTGAAAGGTTCTCTAGCCTCAAAAGTCCTTTGTATTAAGATATGTTGGCTTTAGGATTCCATGGTGCTAATCTCTGTGAATGCCACTTGGGATATAAGAAATGCATAACGGCATTTGCTCTAGAGGAGAGGCAATAAAAGCAGTTGTTACTGTATGTGGGGGCATTTAGAAAGGGGTTATTGAGGCCATTTGTGAGATTTTTGGCATACAGATACATTCAGAGCTTCTCACAGTCCAGTGAGGTAGGATGGAAGCAGAACAATCCAAGTATGCTACTGTTAGTAAATGTTAGCCACTGAGAAGCTGATCAGCATTGGAGAGGGGACAGAAAAATGAGGACTGATAAAAGCCTGTGAAATAGATAATGCTGCTAGTTTCATGCTTATCAAATATGGTTTGGACATAATAAGTTCTGGTGTTATCTTCTGTATTTTTGTTTCCAAACAAAGCCAACCTGAGTCTGAACTTAAGCATTTAGTTTTCTTTGCAACAATGGGTGTTTTAATTTATGTGCCTGGATCTCTGAATGAGGATGATGATTATATATAAATCTTATGCAAAAATATATGTACGTATAGGGCTTATCTGGCTTTCTTTCCCTCCATCCAGATTAAGAGCTTGTGGGTCCTCCTTCTCCCCATAAACAACTGCACAAAACTTAGAACGGCTCCTTCTGCAAATTTTGCACCTGAAATCCCTGCATTTTTTGCAGATGTGCCACCTGTCCCTTGGCCAGGCTATTTATACTGTCAATCAAATCTCTTCTCTCCCCCCCACCCCTCCACTCACATGGGAATCTGCTCCCTGGCGGATAATTTGCAAGGCAAATCTACAAACACCATCCCTTGAAAAAGTGGACTTGAGCTAAAATCACATTTAAAACCCTGCACCGGGGTTCAGAAAGCAAATTAGTTTACATGCCAGCATCCGTGCAAAGGGTAATTAAGGGGCATGGGTAGATCAAAGCAAGTAGCAGTTTTCTGGATGCAAAATTAACAAAGCTGCAGATGGAGCCAGGCACCCAAGTGGCGATGGAACCAAAGCATTTTCATCTGCGTTTGGCCAAATATTGGACATAATCATGTAAAACAGAAGAGCTGGCTATTTCTGGTTTCTGGGCAAAAAAGGCCAGGTATTTGGTAGAGATCGGGATGGTGAATTGTGTTTTTAGGGGGAATCTTCAAGATCCCTTAGAATGGGGGTCCCCTCCTTTCCTAGCCCACCCCGTGCCTTGCATTTTCCTTAAAAATGAAGGTTGTGCTTGTGTTTTCCTAGAGGTGAAGATCCCTACAGCACAAGTCGAGCTGGCCAGGTGCCTGGGGTATCGGCATAGCCCTGAGGGATCTACCCCCTTCCCCTCCCTCTCCCATTTTCTGTTTCTGCCCCCACACCTGGTTAAAAAGCCAGCGCCTGGCTGACTGGTGGGTTTGGAGCCTCCTAGCAGAGAGACAGCCTTCGAGCAGCCGAGGGAACGCTCTTCCCTGGCTTGAACCTATTCCTCATCGGCACCTCTGGCACGGTCCCACAAAGATTTGCAGAGCAAACGGGAGAGGAGGGGAAAACCCGCCCCCAGATGATGCCAGCAGAGGAGAGACAATATTACAAGGCATGCAAATATCCGCACTTGTCCAAGTGGAGTGCCTCCTGTTTTAAGAAACAGTTTTTTTTATTTTCTAGATACGAATGACCCAAAGTCTCCCCAAATAGGACACCATTAAGATATTGACCAATTAAACACGACACAACATGCACTTGAGCTGATCCAACGGCGATCCCCTACGTCGTTTTGTCAGCACTTTGTCAATGGAAATAGTAATACAGATATTTTAAAAACAGGAACAGCGCACAGGTTGCGGGTTCCGTCCCTTTGTCGTCTCACAGCCAAAGTGAGAACTTTGCTCTACGACTGCCTTGCCGCAAACTTCAGTAAACACACTTTGGCACAAGCAAATTGGCCCGGGCAGTTGTACAATATGCACAAGAAACAACATACGGTGTGATGTGCGAAATACATGGCGTCTATCCCCATGTTTAAAGAGAGAGAGAGAGAGAGAGAGAACCCTCTGCCCAGAAAACCCCATCAGTTTGTCCGCACACGTGACTCCGTTTCTTGAAGGCTAGGCTCCAGACGTGTCACAGTGAAATGAAAAGCAGAGATGAAGGCAGAGCTCGGCAGCTACTGCTCCCTTCCGACATCCAAGGTTTCACAGAATCAACAAACGGCACTGAGTGTGCATTGATGAAGTGGGAGGGTCCCACGAGGGCATCTACAGAGAGCTGCTTTATGGTGGCATGATGGTGGAGAGACTGGTTGTTGGAGAGCGACCACTGGAGAGGCTTAACAGTCCCAGTCCTCCTCCGAAGTCTCTGGCCGGCCCCTCCGTGGACAGAACCCTGGGGCAGATGCAGCTTTGGTCTGATCCAGCATGGCGCTCGAGGTGTGTCCGTTTCCCCGTTGGCCTCCTCCTCGCATTCGGGCTGTCCTTTGGCCTTCGTCCTCCTCTGTGTTGCTGTGGGGGTTGCATCCGTGCAAGACAGAGACTTCCTTCTGAGGCCACGGCCTCTGTGTGTGTGTGTGTGTGTGTGTGTGTGTGTGTGTGTGTGTGTGTGTGTATGTGTGTATGTAATGCCCCCTGCCTGCTAGCCTTGAGGGCACTAAGTCCTGTTGCCCACTTCTCCACCCCCACCCCCATTGTTCAGAACTGGGGTTTGAAATGCAGGAAAAGAATCAACCCTTAGTTACGGGGCTGGTGAAGCAGCCCATTCTGTTGGATAAATAATACAGGGGCCACAGGGCAAAGGTGCCCCAAGAAGGCTAGGCTGCCTTTGCTGGTAGAGGCACTCACCCCCAGGGGGAGGGGGGAGAGTCAAGCAACCTGAGGGAGACAGGGCCTCCCTCCCTCCAAGCTCCTGGCCGCCTCCCGTTTAGCATCCAGAGCATCTGGACTGGGATGCCAGCGGAGGTCCCTCTTCCTCTGCAGCCGCAGCCTCTCCCCTATTGTTTGCTTCCTGATGCCAAACATTTGCACAGCGACAAGTGTTTCTCTCCTAGGTTTCTGCCTGTGCTAGACAATAAACGACACTCTGTCCTGATAAGTCAGTTGATCCCATTTTTTCCCTTTATTCCACTGATTTCCTCAAATCCCACTTGCTTTAATCTCGTTAGAGGCAGCCTCCGTTCATCTCTGTCAAGCGAGCCCTGTGTCGGCCCCGGCTCTGCATGGCAATTTTACAATGGCAGCTTCATTTTTCTCCTTTGCTAACTTCAGGGCCTCCTCATAAGGAGTCTAAGCTGCAAAGGCTGGTGGGGTGGGGGTGGGGCGGGGGATTACCAGGTTTGAAAGCAGAGGTCCTCTCCCCTGCTTGGGGACCAACGGCAGAAACAGACAAAAATGCAGGTTCACCGGCTTTGTCAATAGAACTGGAGCACCCTTAACGTCTGTTACTCCTGCCCTGGGGTTTGCTGTAGTAATTAGCTCATTGGTCATCAGAAGATAAACGGAGGACTCCTTCGCAAGTGGACTGCTCAGGCAAGAAGGCTGTGCAGCCATGTGCATTGGGAGGAATGATGTTTTATCACTTTCTAATAGCAAAGCTGGCACCTTGCTTTTTTTTTTTTTTTGCCCAAAGCCAGGTGATGTGATCAGCAGGGCCAAAAGGGTTTTCCCCTCCCATAACAGTTCAAGTGTGTGTGCGTGTTGAGGAGTGGGGGTTGTGCATCTTCCCTGGGGGGGGGGGGGATAATCGTAGCACAGAGATGAGGAGGCTACTCACCCTGCCTCCTCCCACATTTTTTTGTCTGTACCAACGAGGTTCCAATGCACTATTTAAGGCTCTCAAAACAATCAGAATTCATTTCAGGAGGAGGATGGGTAGGTAAGAAGACATGAGCATAAACAAAGCTGATACACCGAGAAGGATCAACCTTGGAAGGGCATCACGTGCTCAAGAAGGGAAGGAACCAATTTGGAAGGAAGGGCTCTCAGGATCAAAAACAAAACAAAACAAACCAAAAAAAAAACCCACCTTCAAATCGAACTCTTCCTGTTTGGGGATTTTCTATTTCTGGCTCTGACAGGGCTTCAGCTTCCTACAGGAACTTCTCAAACGCCAAAGGTTTTCTCTCAGGAGGTTACAGAGAGGGGGGGTGCATGCACGTGGGGAGCCTGTGGGGAGAAGAGGTGAGCGGCGGGGCCCAAAGGTGAGAAAAGGCCCTTCGCAAAGCGAGCGCAGGACCTCCGAGCCCCTCCACCCCCTCGTGAACCAAGAGCCTCGGAGGGGCCCACGTTTAACGGCAGAGCCACCACGGGGCAGACACCACGAGAGAAGGAAAGCTCCCCTCGTGACCTGAGCCAGAAAGGACCGACGAGGTGGATGATGCGGCCCTTGTTACAAACCAAGAGCGAGGTCCTCACGAAGAAAAGTTCAACCCCCCCCAAGTCTCGCTCCATCCACCCGGAGATCACGTCGCTTGGACGGAGGCGGCTCGCCTAGGAAAGTGTGCTCGAGTAGAAACTCAGGCTCTCGGACACAGTTTTGGAGTCCCTCCGGGAGGACCCGTTGGAGGTCAGGTCCACAGAGAGGCGCTTGGTTTTGCCCAGTTCCTCCAGTTCCTCCTCTGGGTTGCCCGCCACAGAGGTGACCGTGGTCTCCATCCGGCTGATCTTGTACATACTGCTCTGGGTTTGAAGGTATCTGGTGGACTTCATCTCCAGCCCTTCATACTCGCTGGAACTGATGAAGGGACACCACCGGAACGCCCGCTTGAAGCCAATGCGGAACCTAAGGGGGACCGAGGAGAGCAGCCGTGTTAGAAGGGGGTGGGTGCAAACTGCCCTCCGGGAGGCATCGAATGAACCGATCATTTATGCATGCGGCAACCTCATTGACCCAGACCACCCGGGGTCGGTTTTTCAGTGGCCATCTCACTCCCTGCCTCACCAACAGGGTTTGCATGAACATTTCAGGCCCCTGGGACCACGATTTTTTTTTTAGAGCAGACCCTTTAATTCCACTGCTGAATGGTAAGTTGATACTTAGGTAAATCTCATGGACTCAGTAGATCTACTCTAGCTGACACTGGCTGTTGCCTTGTGTTAGGTACACACTAGCAGCCCCGTCATCTGCTGGGAAACGGTTGCAGTTTTTCAAACACCATGAGTAGAAGGTCTCTCTCTCTCTCTCTCTCTCTCTCTCTCTCTCTCTCTCTCTCTCTGTGTGTGTGTGTGTGTGTGTGTGTGTGTGTGTGTGTGTGTGTGTGAGAGAGAGAGAGAGAGAGAGAGAGAGTGAAATACGTCCCCACTGTTTTATTTTCTCCGACACCGTATGATTAATTTTATGCTGACCGCCAAGCAAAGACAGAGGTCAACAAAAGACAAGGCAAAGCCCATCCATCTAATCAGTCAGTTCTAGGTGCCACTATCAATAGGATTTATTGTGCACGCACACACACACACATACAGCTGTGAGGGCTGGAGAGACAGGAGGGTCTCAGTGCAAGCTGAGGGTCATAGGGAACTGAATGTTCTGCTTCTGTGGATCTGCTACATGCAACGGCTCTCTTGATCAAAGCTATCTTGCTTTTCACTGGTTTTATAAGCATTTGACCTCTGCCATAATAGAACGGCAGGTACTTCTTGTGCTTGTCAGTTTCCTCTTCATTGTTCTCCTTTCCTCTTCTCTTGTCCTAATCCAAAAGCTGGCAGGACTAAGATCCCTCAGCGTTGTGTGTGGGCTACTCCGTACTTCAGTGAAATGTAAACAACCAACCCGTACATTTACCCAAGATAAATGATCTGTATTGTCCATCCAGGGAAGCCAGACTCTGCAAAATTCTCCAGATACTTCGACTGGCCAGCAGCATTTGGAACATACACGTTCAGATTTCAGCTTCTGGAATCCAATACTATTATATTTGCAAAATTAACCATGTTTGGCTTCATCCTAAATGTACAGTTTTGCCTTAGCCTCCATGGTTCAAAAATGAGCACAAGCTGAAAACTGCCGCAGTGTCCACACCACGAAGTCTCACCTGTCATTAAGGCAGCAGTAGATAATTGGGTTGTACATGGTGGAGCTCATGGCCAGCCACAAGACCGCTAAGTAGACTTGCTGGATGTACTTTTTCTGGTACAACTCTTCATTAAAATGCTGCAGGATGAAGTAGATATGGAAAGGCAGCCAGCAGACTGCAAAGGTACACACCACCACGATCATCATCTTGACCACCTGCCAGAGAAGGAGAGCCTCTTAGGGTGGGAGCCACTGGCTTCCCTCTCGGAAGACCGCCAGACAGAGCCCGGCCCCTCACCAGCGAGCATGGCACGTGGCGGGAGGCTGGCTTGGCCTCGATACGGTCACCTCGCTGAAAAAGGGGGTCACCCATTTCTTGGTATAACATGGATGGTGACCTGCAGTATTTACTTAGTGGAAATGGGTTGGGGTGCAAGATGGGTTGGTCCTTCCCCAACCCCCCAAATGGGATATCTATAAAGAAATGGACCTTCCAGAACTTCAGACATTCTGTATAAAAATATGGCAGTGAAAAGGAATTCTTAATTTATTCTGATGGAGTCTGCCGTACTTTGGAGAAAGAGAGGAGCTCCCAAACCTTTACAAGCTTTTGCTTTTGATACATCTGAGATAAATCTCAGAAGCTGGAACATCTCAGGAGATGGACAACCAAGAGGTTCAAATGTTGGGAACTAGACCTGGCTTCCCCAAACATCCTGATGCAGGCTGGGCTTTCCCTTCTGAGGCTCGGATCAAAGTCCTGTCTGAATGTTCAAGACCACCTACCTTCCGCTTGGCCGACACCTGTTCATGGTAGCGGTCTGAGGAGTCCCCTGGTATCTCACTAGCCCACAGAGTAATGCCGACCACTGTATAGGCATAGCCTATGACGAGGAGTGGGACGACGTAGCTGAGGAGCATCACACTGAGGCGGTATCTGCAACAAATTGACGATGAATAAGGATCGGAACAAAAAGCATCTGGATTTCATCTTCTTGGCTGATGGTGTTTCCAGCGTTTGCAAATCCTGATGCTTGCAAAGAAGGAGGAGGAGGAGGAGGAGGAGGAAAGCAGGATGTGGGCTTTGTTAGGGTCAAGTGCCAACCAGCTACAGCATTTGCTGGCGGTGGCCAAGAGGATGATTCACAAGATCCATCACTCTATGTTTTTGAACTCTGTACTTGGCAACGAGGAGAAAGGTTTTCCAATTCCTGCTGTAAAGATTCCCCCCCCCAATGCTCAGAAAGGCAACCAAATAAAGCTGACAAAATCAACGTGATAGTTGCAGCTTTTCAGAACACCATCTCAAAACCTACGGATGCGTGAGGACAAAGAGGTGTCTTCTCACCATTTAAGCAGATTGCCAGATCTGCTGAGCCAAAGGGTATGGTCTAGCTTCCCTTGCCTTATGTGTCCCCCCACCTTCCGCCTCCCGCACCTTCACACAATGAGGGAGGGTGCCCGCAGAGGACCAGCCTGTTGCTGTTTTCAACCTATAGTTCACAAGAACTGGGGGCGAGCATGAATTATTCAGCATAGCTTTGAGCAGACAGCAATTTCCTGGTGTGGGAAATCTGAAAGCTTATTTTGCTCTGACAGCTTGTGTCTGACTTGAGGCGCTGAAACTCTTCCAGAATAAAAAATAAAGTAATTTCTAAGGGCAGGGAAGAAGTCTGGGGAATGGGAGGCCAACGAGACTTCCTGCTGTCAGGTTAGCCTTGCTTAACCGAAGTGGACAGATGTGGAAACACTCCTGGAATCGCTCGCCCGTCTCCCCTTCAACTCCGATGGCAAGGGCGGTGCAACGCCTACCGAGGTCTTGTTTGGGAGCCCTGCCTCGCCCGACTGCATGCACAACATTTATTTATTTATTTAAAACATTTTTAACCGGTCTTTCTCCTTAAAAAGAACCCAAAGCAGCTGACATCCCTGAAAGACAATCTTTAAAGCTGGGGAAAAATGGCTCTACAATGGTGGTTCACATCATTAAAAGACAACATTTAAAGATACGAGCAGTGAGTATAAAGAGGCAGTTTGCAACATCAAAAGACAACATTTAAAGCTCATTCAAGAAATGTGCAAATCATAAAAAGGGACAAATAAGCACCACTCTGAGGGATGGTAAACAACCGGCCATCCTTTTTCTCACCAGAGCCAGGAGATGCTGTGAGGGTGAGGAACTATGTCCTGGATGCAGGAATGGGCTGGACCAAGAGCGCAAAAATGGAAACTGGATGCTGAGAAGATGTGAGCAGATGGTCCCCAGGTATGGCGTTTTGGGCAGGGCTACCTTTTCCCTGGAAAAAGGGGGTTCACCGCCCTTGAGGGGAAAGTGAGCTTTGACCCAGTTTCATTGTTAGAGGCCCAGATGAGCCATAATCTCCCTCATTGGGACCACCATCAGAGATTATCCTGGAAGGTTCAACTGGAGTAGAAGACAGCCACCAGGCTTTTGAAAAGCATGGTCAGGTGTAAATATATTATGACAAACAACTTCTTTTTTTAATGGCTTGGCTACCTGCTTCTTCCTGGTCAAGGTTTCAAGCTTGCCTTTGAACCTCTGAAGGAGCACCTCTTCTCACATCAAGAGACCCACGTGTTCAGACCTTAGACCTGAGGCAGAAGGCGTCTCCTTGATCAGAGGGATCCTGTTTATCAGCAAAGGAGAGAGTCTTCTCTGGGGAAGGCCTCATAGTCAGGGCTTGTGGTCTACCACTCTGGCTTAGCACAGTGGAGGAGAGGGGCTAGATGATGCTTCAGTGGGTCCCAGGACCCCCACTCCCAATTCAAACACCTTGCAGGCTCTGTTAACTGTGAGCACATGACCAAAAAACAAAACAAAACCTTACTATGGAGAGAGCTGAAGCATGATAATAATTTCTGATAATCTATCACGTAAAAAAAAAAAACCCAGCAATTCATGAACGGGTAGGTCTGACTCTCCTTTCCTACAAATCCTATAAGCCGTCCCAGGAAAGACTCACTTTCCCTTCCCAAGAATGGCTTTAAATGAAGAATCCGCAGGAAGAAAGATTACAGTCTTGGAATTCACTCCACCATGGGTGAAGAGAGACAACTGTTCAATGCATTGAAAAATGGTGGTTGTTTTTTTTTAAAATGGGGATACATAAAGCTTGCAACGTCATTGAGAATCAAACAGCAGAGAACATTTTAATTGTGGGGTGTGGGTGGGTGGGTGTGCATCAGTCCAAACGTGTCTGCAACGTTCATTGTGCAAATGAAAAGGGAGGAAAACAGGTTAATTGGAGGAAGCTTCAAGCCATGGAAGGCCTTGATTTGCTCGCTGACAGCCCCCCTGATCAGCTAATGAAACTGGTATAGATTGGGCTTCATCTTGAAGAGCAGCAGAGTCAACTTTAAAAGGCAGCAGGACTAAATAACAGCCAAGAGGTTGGCGAGGGAGTTAATCGGAAGTGACAGCAGCAAGCCTGTCTCTGTGGGGTGGTGGGGAGAGAGGGAAAGGAGGCAGTTTTTCCAGCCCCTTCCAGCTAGTCCAGGTCCCTTTGCCCGTGGCCTGCCCAGCCAGGGTGCCCCTGCTGCCCAGAGGTCTTCCATAGGAAGTATCCTCCTTCGTTTGAAGTGCTGGTTTAACCATAAAGGATGTCAGAGGTCAGCAGCACCCATAAGCAGAGGCCAGCCGCTCCGCTGGTCTTTCCCACTCAAACAGCATTGCACTGTTGTTCTGCTTAAATTATGAAAACATATCCAATTGTACATGCCATTTTATGTAAATCAATGTCCTCTCCTGTGTAGATTTTGGGACTGTGAAAGGGGTCCTCCTGAATGTTTTTTTAGATACATCGGCAGTTTTCCTGTTTAATTTTCCTTGTTTACCTGGGGGAAGCAGTCTTAGCAAGCATACTTTTAAAAAGGTTATTTGTTACTGTTACTCATTACAGGGTTTGAAAAGTGACTCATGCTTGTTATATGACACAGTGAGAAAAATTAATGGTATATTGTTTGTTTTCTTGTTTTTTTTAAATAGTTTGACGAAAACATTGTCAAAATAATTCTAAAACTGTTTTAAGAATGAACATTTGAAATGAACTTTTTCACAATAAAGAACTGTTTACATTCCTTTCTAAATGAAACTGTGTTACACCCCCCAAAAGTAACTAGTTAAAGATAACTGTTACATGTAATTTGCTACTTCAGAACATTATGTTTTGAATAAAACATAGCCAGACTAAAGGCTAAAGTTCAGTTTTCATGGCATCTTCTGATTGCATTTCATTGGAAAGAAATTTATGATTGCTTGAAAACTCTCTCTCTTCCTCCCCCTTTTCCTTTTTTCTGTTTTACACTTGATCCTACCTTTTCTGCCAGCTGTCATGCATTACAGGGGAGAAGAGCCGGGAGAGGCAAAAAGCAGCATCTATTTCTACTGAGGTGTCTCTGCATTCCCAGCCAGCTGGTTGTCTCCTTTTTATCCACCGCCCTGATGGCCCACTTTGCTGCCTGTGTTCTTTATTCATGAGCGCCTGGAGACAACATAATGAAGCCAACTCGCTTTCTAGAGCCGGGCGAGTGATTAGCCAAAGAAGCCAGCCTTCGCTTGGAGGCCGATCGCAAATCTAACGTGTCCGATCAGGCAGGGGCCTTAATCAGCCCATCAGTGACGGTGGTCTGTATTTACCCCACATGCCCTGGGAGGGCGCTTCCATCTCCAGAAAGACTCGTAACCCTGTCCTCTGTTCAAAGTGGGGAACGTAACAGATATGGGCTTCTCACTGCCGTGGCCAACTCCGGAATTTCTTTCCCAGATTAGCTGCATCTTTAGTCCTCTAAAGTGGTGGTCCCCAACCTTGGGCCTCCAGATGTTCTTGGACTTCAGCTCCCAGAAATCCTGGCCAGCCAAGGTGGTGGTGGTGGTGAAGGCTTCTGGGAGTGGTAGTCCAAGAACATCTGGAGGCCCAAGGTCGGGGGCCACTGATCTAAAGGGCTCACACGCTGCACAGGCCCGCGGCCAGTGACTTGCTGTTTTCATTGTGCTTCAAACTCCGCCTCAAACCGAGGGTCTCAAGGAGGGTCTGTGGGCACCTTCAGCTCATAGCCATCCAGCCCTGAGCCATGCAGGGAGCATGGTTCCTGGCACGAGTCATGGACCAGCTCCGGATGCATTCCAGAGGGGAACCTCTTCTGGCTGAGCCAGGACGGCCATTCGCATTCAAGGCAGGGCTTGCTCACATGGAATTGGGATGATTCCGACCTCCTGAGGCTGCTGAGTGGAAGGAGCCTCCCCTGTCTGTGCTCTGAGGACCACTGGGGGGGGGCCCACAAGGGGACTTCAAACCAGGGATGGGGACTTGTGGGACTTGCTGTCAAGGCGGAATTACATCACACCAGTCACTCAATTCTGGCACAACTTGGTTCCCCCCCCCCCAATTACTTTGACTCAACTTGGAAGCCACCCACCCCTCCCTTTTCTTCTGGGGATAAAAGCTTGCTTTTAATAGGGACTCGGGCTCAGGACTTGGGACTCATCACCAAAGACTCAGGCTTGGACTTGAGACTTGCCAACCTCTGTGCTTCAAACTTAAGTGGCCAAGTCTCAAGGCACCTGCAGGATCCCCAGGGAGCTGGTGTCCTTTCCTGGGCCCGGGGGGGGGGGCAGGGAGGCGACCCCTCAGGGTGAGCAGTTCTGCTGGAAGAGCAAAGCCAGGTTTTATTATGCCATGGGCTTCAATGCTTCTCTTTGGCTCAGTGCAAACTCTCTATATGTGTGCTGAGCATATAATATTTGTTTAAGAGGTAGCACAGAAAATCCGTAGGCTGTAGCTGCAACATACAGACATAATTCTCTTATTGCTACTGCTGCGCTTTTAAACTCAGTGCAAACATTGCCAGCTATTTCTATAGACCTGTTCCAGACATTAGGAAGCACGGCTACATAAGTCTTTGCTGCGTATACAGCAATATTTTTGAAACCCATTTTCTACTCTGTCCCTTCGGTAAAGACTCATTCCTGCACTTCATTTCTTCACTGCCTGTGCACGTTGCTCCAGTAAATAAAGTTTATGAACCCTCTTCCTCCTTGATGGCGACCACCTGCAATATTTACCACCAGAGCATGCGGCACGCCATCGCCCACAGCGGCACAAAATCCACCCGATATCCAGGTTTACAAAGTAAGCCCTGACATGCTCGGCTCTAGCAGGCCTGACAGGTGGAGGGGAAGAGAAGACGGGTGCTTCTGAGCAGAAGCTAAAAAGAGCGAGGAGGCAGTCTCAGATTCCTGGGGGCTCATGTTCTGCTTCCTTTTGTTTTCAGATACTGCTCTGCAGCCTAGGAAGTGTGTTCAATGTCCGGTGGGTAGCACCTCGCAGAAAGGAGAATGTGAAGGTGTTTGGGTTTGTCTAGAGTGGCAAACCCATTCTCAGCAGACACTGCAGACAGGAAATGCTACTGATAATGAAAAGGGTGTGTGTGTGTGGGGGGGAGCGTCATGTTTCCCCTTAACACTCTCAAAGATTCAAAACCAGTTCAGGAGTACATGGCTAGTAGATGTCACCATTACGGTCTTCTAACACAACTCGGTTTGGTAGCAGAAGAGAGAACTAAAAAAATGAACAAATATTTACTGATAGATGGGTTGTTCCCTTGAAAGCCTTCTATGGCTTGTCTTTAGGCTACCTGACGGCCCTCCTCTCGGCCCCCTTTGCCAGCGCAGGCACAGCGGCTGGGGGGACACGAGGGGGGCCCTTCTCTCTGGCAGCTCCCAGATAGTGGCGTCTCTCCTGGGGAGATGATGCTGCCCCCCCTCCTTTTATCCTATCACCGACAGCTGAAGACCCACTTTTTCAGGCAGGCTTTTAACTATCAGGACTGAGTCCCTGAATGCCATTCTTAAAGTTAAAACAGTTTTTAATGTTTTACATGTTTTTAATTATTCAGTGTATTTTAATGAGCTTTAAAAAAATTTTTAATGTGTAACTTACTGTGATTTCAACGCTATTCTCTTTAATATCATGTGCCACCTTACGTCCCCTTATTGGGAAAAAGGCAGCCTACAAATAAGATAAGACTCCTCTCGGAGTCATCTTTATCTTTCTGATATCTGTTCAGTTTTCACAGAAGCTGGGCATAACCTTTCTCTTACTCTTTCGGAGGATGTATTTTTTGCATCAAAGAATAAAACAA